TGAGGACGTACCATCTGGACAACCTACTTCAGGAATCGAGAACTATAACTCTCACCACGTCGAATACCTCTTTTATCACTGCTTCTTCATTGCCTCTTGAAATCATCGCCACCGTTGTCCTCTCCTTCGACGACGATTTCGAAACATTGGCAAAATTCGCGCTAGTAAATCGCACCCTCTGTGAAGAATGCAGGCGACGCTTGTACAGAAATGTGGGGTACCAGTTCGTAGGGAGTGGCCGTCGAACTCTGGCAGATCCCGACGCTCTCTTGATGAATCCCAATCTTGCAAAGCACACACGAACATACCTCGTCGATGAGCTTTTTCCCAACGTGACACATCGCCCGCGTCTCCTTCCTTTACACCCAGGCCCTGCCTTGCAGTCCATGGTCAACCTCAAGCATCTCTCTGTTAGGTCCTTTGAAGTGATCCCTGACAACTTCCTGGAGAACTGCCCCTTCAAGATCGAGAGTCTTCGCTGGACGGATGGCAGGGAAGGTAGCGCGGATATCATCCTTCGATTCTTAGCAAATCAAACAGAGCTTCGCCGTATGCACGTCGACTTTCACGTACCTGATCAAGAATACTTCCTTCCTCTTCCCGCGTGTCGAAATCTCCAGTATATCAAAGGCGAATTCTGCGCGATTCGTGCCCTTCTTCCTCGACGACAAGTATCGACATTAGTTTTCCAGTTTCGCAAGTTCTTAGGGGGAGCTAGCATGGACGCACTCGAACGTCTGAGCAAGGAACTCCAGCAACTCAAAGTTCTGTCAATTCTTCGATGGCCATCCGTGGGTATGTTTAACCCGTGCCTCTCCTCCATCTCCCAGTATCTTGCTGGTCTCCAATATCTCGAAATTCACTATGAGGTATGTCATCACCGAAATTTCTGTCTTTCTTGTTACTCATAACTCGTACCTATGGTCAGGAGCCCGATCTTCTTGACCTGATGTCCCAGTTCACCTCTCTCGTTGGCCTCATTTTTCGGATGCTGTACAATAACCTCCGTTCAGAACTTGAAGAGCCCCGTGCTTCGTCTGAAACCGGTCTATTTTTTATGCGCTGCCCCACACTCCAATTCATAGACATACCAGTGAAGGTTCATATTTCTAGGGAGACGCATGAACACCAACGCTGGATTCCCACTCAAAGTGATCGACGGGTCGGAATGAAAGTACCTCAGGAGCTTTTCTCCTGCTCAGATATCGAAGAACACATGGCCCGGCCTCATTAATCTCAAATCTTCAATCACCTCATCGGTTGAGTACCACCGCTCTGTTAAACAAATCGAGGCTAACTCTGATCGTAGGGTACTACAGATTGCGCGCGATTAAAGCAAACGAGCCATAGAATCAAAATTGCCCGGCTGTTGTAAACATTGGCGGCTGGATCACTGATTGAGCTTCAGTTGAAATGTCTACCGAGCGACTGTATACAGAACGAGACAATTTTTAGAATAACGATGGCTCCTTGCAGTTCGAAGCCACGATGGGGACGCGTCCAAGATAAGGGTGCGGCAACGACCACGACATCTCCATGAGCTCATGGAAAATTGTCACCTTAACGGTTAGACTAAGTAAAGCAAGCTGACCCGACATGTCCATATGCGCCCTCGCCTCCAGTGAATAAAGATAAGCATCGGGACAGTCAGAGACAACATTTTCTGGCCTGGCCTCTTGCGCGTCTACATCTGGTAACTGGCGCACCTTAAATGGAGTTTCAGCCGCAAATGCCCTCTACCGGCGCAGTCTCCTAGACTCAAAGAAAAAAAAATCATGATAACAACGAGTAGAAACAAAGGATTCACAAGGTTTGCCCCCTCCTTGATTTCCTCCGGGAGCGGTGTTGATGACGATGATTCAGAACCAGGGTGCCGGGGTGCCGCTAAGCCGTCTTCTAGCTCAGATTCAACTTCGCATTTCGTTCCCAGGCACCATGAAAAGAACCATGAGTATGTCCACCAACAAAACCTTGGACTCACCTAAAGTT